GTTTAGCCAATCACAACACACTGGGCTAGCTAACCAATCAGAGCTCATCGCCTATTTCTGAGGGTGGGGCTTCATAAAAGGAGGAAATGATCAGCGTGTTTCTCAGAGAAGGGACAGAGCGGAGTGGAATAAAGGTAAATTATGTAAAAAATAATGCTTTTTTTTTTAAACGAAGCATTATTTTTCACATAATTTACCTTTATTCCACACCGCTCTGTCCCTTCTCTGAGAGGGCTTCATAAAAGGAGGAAATGATCAGCGTGTTTCTCAGAGAAGGGACAGAGCGGAGTGGAATAAAGGTAAATTATGTAAAAAATAATGCTTTTTTTTTTTTTTTAAACGAAGCATTAACATGCTAGACTGCACCCCATAAACACAATCAAGCCTAAAAAAAAAAAAGAGTGAACCACCCCTTTAATAATAATACCAATAAAAAGTCTTCCACCATATTAAATAGTTTATTAGACTAACAGTACACCGTTTATGGTTGACAAGCAATGTAGAAACTTGGCACATTAAAAGGAACATTCCAAGTTCAAGTTAAGCTCTAGCGTCAGCATTGAAGACATGCTGTTGATTACCACAGAAAACAAGTTTAACTCAGACTTCAGATTCAACAAACAATCAGAATGAGCTTTCCACAGGATTTGGAGTGTTACTGTGGGAATTTTTGGCCATTCATCCAGTTTATAGAGCATTTGTTAGGTCAGAGACTGATGTTGGACCAGAACGCCTGGCTCGCAATCTACGTTTCTAGTTCATCCCAAAGGTGTTTGATGGGGTTGAGGTCAGGGCTCTGTGCGGGCCATTCGAGTTCTTCCACACCAAACTCATCCAACCATGTCTTTATGAATGATGAATTGTTCAAAATGTCTTTGTATGCTGAAGTATTAAGGTTTCCCTTCACTGGAAGTAAAGGGCCTAGCCTAGATCCTGAAAAACAGCCCCATACCATTATCCCTCCTCCACTAATCTTTACAGTAGACACAATGCAGTCAGACAGGTAATGATCTCCTGGCATCCACCAAACCAGACTCACCCATCAGACTGCCACACATAGAGGTGTGATTCGTGACTCTATAGGTTTCCACTGCTCCAGAGTCCAGTGGCGGTGTGCTTTTCACCACTCCATCTGACGCTTGGCATTGTACTTGTGATATGAGGCTTACAAGCAGTTTACCATTCTATGAAGCTCCCGCCGAGACTTAAACTCAAAGACGCTGAGGGAATTAGGGCAGCTTGAGACGGATTCCTCCTCACGGTGATGCCAACAGTCCATTAGCCCCTGATGCTCTTAGAAAGCGTGAACAACCTGCGAGGTTGTCAGATGGCATACGATGCCATCTCAGGCTTAACCGTCATCTCAGATCCTCTCTCAGTGGATGATGGCAAATCTATATTTGATGTCACCACATACGGAGGTGAGCGTGAGAACATGTGATGCCACGTCTGACAGATCACCTAAGACAAACAGATCCTGGGAGGATTTACAGAGGCTTTTTGCTTTTTACTTGTCCCTGGAGTCACTTATATATAAAAAAACTGTCAAAAACATATTAAAACGAATAGTCCTGACTGACACAGCAACATAAACGGAACCTTATTTGATTTGATGTGCAAGATTCCGAGGATATTCTTCAAAAAGAAATAATCTTTTCCCCTTCAAATGTCAGTTATTTATGTAAAGACCTCATTTACATGTTCGTAACTTCCTTATTTCCATATTTCCAGCAAGAAAATAATAAAGATTTACTTTAATCATTTTGAATGGTTTAACATCTTATTTGAGGCAGTGGGCCAAAGCATCTCGACTGGAATAAGCTCTCATTGTTTCATTCATTCATGGAAAGCATTTGCACTGAATGAAATCTCCACAAACCCCTTAGCTCTGCTTTGAATTCGCACAAAAAGGCCATTGTATCATAAGGCCATAGTCATCATGTATAGTCAGTGTCTGCCTACTAGCATAACTAGCATACTATACTGCGTCATTGTTTAGTTAAGAGACGTCACCACTTGTGACTGAAAGGGCAAGACAGGGATTGTGGATGTGTTCCAAAACCTAGTGAGCTTCCTTAAAGGGGTCATCCGATGCTACATTGACTTTTACAAGTTGTTTGAACTGAAATGTGTGTTGGCAGTGCGTGTACACAACCACCCTATAATGATAAAGATCCACCCAGTGTTTTTTTTCTTTACCCCCTTCTCAAATAGAGCTGATCTCAGATGACGTCACACAGACAGGCCCCTCCCACGATAGTTTGACTGACAGTAGCGTTTCAGCACAGACTGGACTGGCGTCTTATAACCAAACTATGTTACAGACTTTTCATTAAGACCCTAAAGAATCATATCAACTTGTGGAAAATGGGCATCCGATGAACCCTTTAAGGCCCAAGAATACTTCGTTTTTTTATGCGTGCGCTAGCGTATGCGCACAGTTGTACGATTAGCCTTTCAAAGTAAAGTCCATTTGAGGTGTACGTGAACGTAAGTGGTCGACATACGTGCTATAGTGAGCTTCATCTTTGAGTCTGCTCTATTTTTCTCCAGAAGTTATGACCAATCAAAATGTCTTTGTTCTCTTTTTAAACACAAATGTACATGGACATTTGTGTATGTATAAGAACCAAAGTATACTTGGGCCTTCGAAAGGCTGAGACACGAAACCAACATCAAAGAACTAGCGGCTACGAAAGCCGACTGTGTTGTCGCCTCACATTGCCTGCATCTGGGCCAAAAAGTTGCACTTGAACACACCGCAAAGTCTACGGCCAACAAACATATACATTCTGTGTCTGTGTGAGATGTAAAACTGTAAAATTCAAGAGTCTGCTGTATTTGCCCTCTTGACTTTGTTGTTTGCTTGCTTTTGTCACTTTCGTTTTTCTTTGGTTTGCTAAGCTTAACAGCCAATCTGAGTGTTCTCTCACCGATGGGCTTCCTTTGCCGATTCAACATCGCTTAATCAGCCAAAAAGCTGCCGACGAGGGCCATCTAATGCTAACAAATGCTCTTCATAGGCACCAACTCGACACGCCACACAAACAGCATTTTCCATGTGAAGCACTTGATAGCATGTTGCTAAGCTAAAACTGTGACGCTCTAAGCACAAAAGTATACAGCACACAAAAAAAATTTGGTAAAATAGTAAATTAAGTATTTAATATTATACTTTATCGATTAGTAATTGGCGAAACCATTGTGAATCTTTTGTTTTGAATCAGTGGTTTGGAGCATGTCCAAGTCTCATGATTTCCATAAACAAAGCTTCGTAACATATCGTTTTGAACTGTTTTAATTCTGATGGTTCGCTGCTAGAGTGTATTGATATGGCGAACTCATGAACCAGAGTCTAATATATGGTCAGTTCAGTTTTAATGAATTTTAATAGACGTCCTGCCTAAAAGCACATTAAAAAAAATAATAAAAAATAAATTATACACTTCATATTGTTATTTAATGATGCGTAGATTACACTTTCATAAAAACATTTGTAATTGGTTAGTAATTATTAGTAGTTATTAACGTTTGAGCTGAGCTCACATTGCATTTAAACAGTTTTGGGTGCTCAAAACAGTGAATCATTTTGCAAAGCAGTTGATTCAGAGTTTCCAAAAGTTGTATGTACCATCAGAGCATGTGAGTGGAGCGGAGCGGGGAGCGGAGTGGTAATATTTCCTTAAGAGCGCAGAGCGCCTTTCTGAAGATTCCGCTCCGCTCGCTCAATACGCTCAGCGCCGCTCGCTCAACCCAGAATGCCCTTTGGTGATTTGCTTGTTCGAGATCGAGAATCTGTAGAGATCGAGAATAGTAGAGCAGTTATGGAGTTAAGATATTGTTTCAACTAAGTTGCAAGCCTTATACATATATGTAAAGTAAAAATCAAAGTTAAGAATGAGCAGGGAGAAGAAACTGAGAGGGAGTGCGGGGAGACTGTTAAAGTTAGTACAGATTCATATTGATTACAGAAAGCACGAAGATGTATGCAAACATGGTGCAGCAAAAGGTGAGCTAGTTACATACCATAATAAATGAATAAACAGGTAGGCTAAGGTTATATTCGTACAATGAAATAAAAGTATATTTTCAATCAGTATTTCTACTTTTCTTTTTTTTTCAGCTGAGCTCATCGTAATGCATCATGGGATTGCTTCATAATCCATAACGTTCTTAGGAAGCATTATCATGCGTCCGATCTTCCAGAACACAATGGAAGCACAAATATGATGCCTTACAATGCAGTCTAAGTAGGCAGCTCATTTGGAACAGAATTTTGAATTGGAATTGACCATTTAGATTTTGTTACCTCTCAATTGGAAGGCTATGTGGAAACTAAAACATAAAAACATTAACATCCCAATACAACTGTTGACAGTCTTGGGATACCAATGTCAGTTAAACTCACACCTAGAGGAAATCAGTCAAGCCAGTGTTTGCTCCGATCACTGAAAAAGGAAGTTAACAGCAACAGGCCAGAATTCCAAACCAGCAAAGTCAGAGGAAAGCCTGACCAATCAGCAGGCAAACGGACAGATTCCACAGCAGACTGCTGTTAGGAGACAGAACCAAAGTGCTGAGGAATGTTCTTGAGTGCTCGCCCCGTTTCAGATGCTCATGGTCCGCATATTCAACACTGATATCTTTGGTTTTAAATTAACCTTGAAGTTCAGCCACCCATTCACATGTTATGTTCCAGCCGAAATAACAGAAACAAGCTTTTCGTTGGAGGACTTTTTTTTTTGCAGACTACATCCGGTGTTGAATTCTTGTTGGCGGCACCTCAAGTACAGCTTTCCTCTTTGAGGCTTTCCCTCTTAATACACATTGCCATGTAAGGAAGGTAAAACACTCCGAACACAGGAAACTTGAGGAGCTGGGAGAAGGAATTGTGGGAGAAAGAGACCGAACAGGAACTGAGAAGAAAGATAAACCTAAAACTGACACAATTAATCAGCCCCTGCAGCAAGTGTGATTTAGGTCATACGCTTCACTTTGGATACTGTTCTGTTGTATTTGAAGTGATTGTCATTTGGACAAACGATTCCTTTTTAATTCCTTTAATTGGTCCAGATGCTTAAAAATGAGGACACGCTGCATACTCTGTGGCAATGGTTTTCTATCCAACAGCAGAACAAGACATCTGATTATGAGGCATGTCATGCAAAAATAGCAGATAAACAACCTACAGAGTCATGAAGGAACAATTTCCTGAGACTCACTAAACCTGCAGTCTATCCGTTAGGCTCGGCGCAAAGGATGGTGAAATTCGAGCCCTTCTTTCTAGATATTAACTCGTGTCTTTAGGGAGAGAGTGAGGTCTGAAAGTGCTACAGAAGGAGTCATGCCACGTCAGCATGTCTAAATGTCACAGAGCCAAAGATCATGGGGGACCACAGAGGTTACGCCAGAGTTTAAAGTCAACATGAAATGGCATTCTCAACCCATTTTACTTCCAAATGCGACAAAAGTCCAAGTAAAACAAGAGAAACAATTAAATACATACTGGTAAAAAAAAAAAAGTATAGCCTGAATGCACTGCAAGTCGCTTTGGATAAAAGCATCTGCTAAATGCATTAATTTAATTTAAATTAGAAACAGATGTTTGACTATCAACAAAGTCCAGGTACAATTTCCAGGTTATTGACTATCTAGACAGGAAGACACTGTCTGGCCGACAATAAAAGTGACCAAACACAGTTTGATGTGCTTTTACATGTTGTTTTATGGCGAGCTTATCTGAAATTGATTATATGCTGTATATATATATATATATATATATATGGTATAAAATATGGTGCCCTTTGTGCAAAGATGTACACTTTAGCGTACTTTTAAAATAGTACTTATTATGGGAATTAAATGAAAATGCATTATACATTAAATTGCATTTAATTAAATTTAAACATGTCATTTAAAACTTATATTGTCTTTGAAATATGGTTAAAGTTACTGCTGAATGTGCTGACAAGCATTTATGATAAACTAAAATACACTTTAATGTCATTTCTATTAAAACGTGCATGTCATGTATTTAAATTATATTTGTAATTACACATTAGTAGGGCTGGGTATCGATTCAGATGTCTCGATTCGATTCGATTCTCGATTTTTTTGATTACATTCAGTGAATATAGTTTTAATACAAATGCTATTGATATTTCTAAAAAATGAACAGTAGAAGCTGAAAACACCGCGAGCGTCATCCACGCTTTAGTATGTGTGTAGTAAACAAAACAGTGCGCCGCGCCATCCGCCATTCATTCATTGCGGAAATCATGGCGCCTTATGCGTGATATCAAATTCTTCCGCAGATTTATAGCATTACTGTAGCATTTCACCTGAGCTTTGCGAATTGCGCCATGAATATGTGCTGAACGTATGGCCATGATAAGTGCAGAATTAATGACAGGCTTTCTGTTGTAACATCGCGCAAGGTAAATAAGGGTGACATCTAGTGGAGAAGACTAATGATAAGATTCACGTTAATCAGATCTTGTTTTAAATGTGTGCTGAAATAAATACTGGAAAAGATCGATTCGCGGCTTTTGAGAATCGATATCGAATCGACGTCATTTTAAAAAAACGATTAATCGGAAAATCGATTTTTTTTCCCCCAGCCCTACACATTTGTAATGATATACTAACTTTTTTAATCAAGTGCTTTACATGTGCTTTAGTATGTTAGTCAACACACTTCTTCATGACAAGTGATGACACTTTTTAAAATGGTACTTAAGTGTGTTACGAAACAGTCATCAAATTATCTCTCTTTATGTTAATTTAGGTACATTTAGTACATCTTATTTCATTAATATTGTCTGCAAGTACATATACTTTAAAGATTTGAAATACACTACAAGTGCACATTCAATACAATTAAGTGCATTTCTTTTTCTCAAACGACAGCAGTCTCTCCGAGCAGAAAATTACTAGAAGCATTTTTCATTTTTGAGTGAAATCCATTTGTATTTCATGTTGAAACACTACTACATCTAGGCAAGAGGCAGGGCGAGTTCTGCTGGAGATGTTCCATCTCTCTTCCAAAGTCACACATCTATTGGACAACTGCCCCATGGGTAACAAATAGTTCAAGAGTTTATTTCTTCCCTAGAAAGCAATCATCACATAAGTCTCAATCTTGTCCCTGGAGTACATCCTTTCTGCAGAGCGCAGTTTCACCTCTAACCAAACACACCTGAACCAGCTAATCAAGGCCTCAGTGCCTATATGTGCATAATATATAGTATTTTAAAGATTAGTGTCAAAGGTGCTCCCTTTCAAAGTACATATTTTACATCAAGTATGTACTTCTAATGTGCAGTACAAGTATGCAAATTGGGTGTCCGACAAGCTCTTGGGGTTCATTCCAAATTTATGGCCCGTCGTGTTTGATTAGAGCAGAAAATAAAACTCAGCAGGAACTGGGAACCAGATCATGTAAATATGCTTTATAGCCTCAATAAATGAGTAATATATCATAAATATATCCAAAGCTTCTGCATGGAAGACATTTACTGATAAATATACCAACTGCAGAGGAAGTGTAACCATTCACTGTGACCGACTTACCATTATTTGAATTGATTTTTTTTCCAATGCTGGTCTAACTATTCTGCCCCTAAATTAGGGCTGTGCAATTAATCGCATGCGATTGTCATGCGCATCTCGTCAGTAAAGCCGGTTGCGTGATTAGTAGTAAATCTGCTTTCAGATGGAGCGGCATTTACTACACAGAGCCGTAGTTCACTGACAAGCTAGGCAATATCGCGTTCATAATCGAATGCGATTAATCTGCGATTATGAATGCAATATTGCCTAATTGTCAGTGAACTACGGCTCTGTGTAGTAAATGCCGCTCCATTTGAAAGCAGGTGATGAAGATTTACTACTAATCACGGAACCGGCTTTACTGACGAGATGCGCATGACAATCGCATGCGATTAATTGCACAGCCCTACCCTAAATGTAAAAAAAGAACTGTGATTGTTCGCTTGTAAACAAATGGTGCCTTGTCATCTTTGGTGGGTGATTCTCAGCCAGAATGAGCTGCAATGCGGACCAGATTTCATGCAGTTAGTCTGAAGTCTGGCTATGGGAGACTAGACAAAATTTGGCCTTGCTCTCCCTGTAATTTTGACACTCTCATGGTTATTTAGTCGGGCTGTAGGGGAGGCAGAAAGAGTCACTATGTAATGGATAGCAGAAGGTCTCCTGCAGTACTGAATGGACAGGATTGGAGCAGGAGGTGTGACTAATGTTTCTCATGTTCACAGCTATCAAAAGAAATATACACTTAAAAATAGGTTTTCCAAAAGGAGGTGTTTGCAGCAACGCCACAGAAGAACTATTTTGAGTTCCCAAAAAAAACCTTTCAGTGAACCATTCTCAAAAGAAACATGTTTTCTCTTAGTGTGAAGAACCTTTTAATAATCTAAATAACCTTTTTCCACTGTAAAGAATCTTTTGTAGAATGGAAAAGTTCTATGGATGTTCAAGGTTCTTCATAGAATCACAGATGTCAATAAAGAACCTTTATCTTTAAGAGTGTATTACAGGCATGCTGGTGCTGTCTTATGCAAGATTTACACTACATGGTTTTCAAAGTCATCCGATCGCTGTTCCTTTCACACTACATAACTGTTTAGTGTATCGTGAAGTTGCTGTGGTTTGCACATTACACAATGGATTGGCGATTGGGGGTCACACATTACACAATATTTCACTAGGAAGAATCCCCAACGACTCCATCTCATTTACAATTCTGGCACAAGACAGGAATTCGCTAGAAGCTTGGATTCCAGGTTGGCTGTGCACTGGTTTGCAGTAAAAAAACAACAAAAAAAGAAAAACATAAGAATATGGATGAGAGAATGGTTGGGGAGATGGTTCCACCCCCTAAAATTTCCCTTGCCTCGTAACTTGCTCTATTATTGTCATTTCCAGTCAAAACACATTTCACACTGCAGGACTCAGAGTTGCAGTTTGTTAAGAATTTCACCTTATAGTTTGCATCCATAAAGTTCCAAATAAAAAGAGAAATCAATCATGAAAAAGAGAAAACAAGTAGCTTGAGCAGAACAAAATGCAATCAGTGTCAAACTGGACACAGAGACTGAGACAAATTAATTGACGTACATACATTACATTCAAAAGGTGTCATACTGGTGCCATCACGGAATTAAAGGGTTAGTTCACCCAAAACTGACCCAGATCCGGCGTAATGACGTCGTGAACGCGCGTCCAAAGTGACGCAGTAGAGACAAAAATGTGGAATAAAGTTGTTATTTTTGTTTTCTTTGCGCAAAAAAGTATTCTCGTAGCTTCGTAACTTTACAGTTGAACCACTGATGTCACACGGACTACTTTGTCGATCATCTTGGTACTTTTCTGGACCTTGAACGTGGTAGTTACCTTGCTGTCTATGGGAGGGTCAGAGAGCCCTAAGATTTCATCAAAAATATCTTAAATTGTGTTCCGAACAGTAATTAATGACAGAATTTTCATTTTTGGGTGAACTAACCCTTTAAAACTAAACATTTGTGTAATATGCAATTGAAGTATTTAACACAATATTTATTGGTTGCAACAAGTGGGTTAACTTGAATGTCTTTTTTTTTCTTTCCAGACGAAGATGAAGTCTCTGAGAGACGACTGGGAGCGTTTCAATGCAACACAGAAACAAGTGAGTTTTGCCTTGAGCATCAAAAGTAGCTCACACTACGGCTCTGTTCCATCATCCTGTGAGCTGCCTGCTGTCTCCACCTCATAAACTGGCTGATTTAAAAACACTACGAGCAGTATCTCTGTGAATCATATAAATAATAGCACTTACAATTAGTTATGCCACGGGGAGGAAATTTTTTTTATCGAATGTCGATATTACACCTCATATTTTACAAGAAAATATTTGCTAGTGATGCTCAGGATTGCATCACAGGATTTAACAGTAGGTCTTTACATCTTTCCCTTTCTTTCAACAAAATGAATGCTTGAAAATGGTGGGTTCATTATTATTCTTAATGAAAAACACAACAACAATAAAACAGTACATTGACAAACTCGCTTACATTAAACAGAGAACAAGATACGGAGCCCTGCACGTCATACAGACAAATATATATTTATTAGGGTAGCAAATTAAGAATTCATTCTTACGACTATTCATTTCATCGTTTTATTAAATTGTGTTCATGTACTAATTCATTCCCTCAACTTTGATTTAACATCAATCACTACAAGATGGTCACGATTTAATAAACTGAGCAAACAAACTGTTTGGTGTTTGTCAAGTAATGTCATTTGTGTATGGCCGAACACCGCTACCTAATCAATTCTAATCAGTTATCCTATACAGGTGCATCTCAATAAATTAGAATGTCGTGGAAAAGTTCATTTATTTCAGTAATTCAACTCAAATTGTGAAACTTGTGTTTTAAATAAATTCAATGCACACAGACTGAAGTAGTTTAAGTCTTTGGTTCTTTTAATTGTGATGATTTTGGCTCACATTTAACAAAAACCCACCAATTCACTATCTCAACAAATTAGAATATGGTGAAATGCCAATCAGGTAATCAACTCAAAACACCTGCAAAAGTTTCCTGAGCCTTCAAAATGGTCTCTCAGTTTACACTAGGCTACACAATCATGGGGAAGACAGTTGTACAGAAGACAATCATTGACACCCTTCAAAAGGAGGGTAAGCCACAAACATTCAATGCCAAAGAAGCTGGCTGTTCACAGAGTGCTGTATCCAAGCATGTTAACAGAAAGTTGAGTGGAAGGAAAAAGTGTGGAAGAAAAAGATGCACAACCAACCGAGAGAACCGCAGCCTTATGAGGATTGTCAAGCAAAATCGATTCAAGAATTTGAGTGAACTTCACAAGGAATGAACTGAGGCTGGGGTCAAGGCATCAAGAGCCACCAAACACAGACGTGTCAAGGAATTTGGCTACAGTTGTCGTATTCCTCTTCTTAAGCCACTCCTGAACCACAGACAACATCAGAGGCGTCTTACCTGGCCTAAGGAGAAGAAGAACTGGACTGTTGCCCAGTGGTCCAAAGTCCTCTTTTCAGATGAGAGCAAGTTTTGTATTTCATTTGGAAACCAAGGTCCTAGAGTCTGGAGGAAGGGTGGAGAAGCTCATAGCCCAAGTTGCTTGAAGTCCAGTGTTAAGTTTCCACAGTCTGTGATGATTTGGGGTGCAATGTCATCTGCTGGTGTTGGTCCATTGTGTTTTTTGAAAACCAACGTCACTGCACCCGTTTACCAAGAAATTTTGGAGCACTTCATGCTTCCTTCTGCTGACCAGCTTTTTGAAGATGCTGATTTCATTTTCCAGCAGGATTTGGCACCTGCCCACACTGCCAAAAGCACCAAAAGTTGGTTAAATGACCATGGTGTTGGTGTGCTTGACTGGCCAGCAAACTCACCAGACCTGAACCCCATAGAGAATCTATGGGCTATTGTCAAGAGGAAAATGAGAAACAAGAGACCAAAAAAATGCAGATGAGCTGAAGGCCACTGTCAAAGAAACCTGGGCTTCCATACCACCCCAGCAGTGCCACAAACTGATCACCTCCACGCCACGCCGAATTGAGGCAGTAATTAAAGCAAAAGGAGCCCCTACCAAGTATTGAGCACATGTACAGTAAATGAACATACTTTCCAGAAGGCCAACAATTCACTAAAAATGTTTTTTTTATTGGTCTTATGAAGTATTCTAATTTGTTGAGATAGTGAATTGGTGGGTTTTTGTTAAATGTGAACCAAAATCATCACAATTAAAAGAACCAAAGACTTAAACTACTTCAGTCTGTGTGCACTGAATTTATTTAATACACGAGTTTCACAATTTGAGTTGAATTACTGAAATAAATGAACTTTTCCACGACATTCTAATTTATTGAGATGCACCGGTAAACCTGTAAAAATCTCAAAATCCTCAATAAGTTCTTTTTTGGAGTGCCATCACAGAATTAAAGGGTTAGTTCACCCAAAACTGACCCAGATCCGGCGTAATGACGTCGTGAATGCGCGTCCAAAGTGACGCAGTAGAGACAAAAATGTGGAATAAAGTTGTTATTTTTGTTTTCTTTGCGCAAAAAAGTATTCTCGTAGCTTCGTAACTTTACAGTTGAACCACTGATGTCACACGGACTACTTTGTCGATCATCTTGGTACTTTTCTGGACCTTGAACGTGGTAGTTACCTTGCTGTCTATGGGAGGGTCAGAGAGCCCTCAGATTTCATCAAAAATATCTTAATTTGTGTTCCGAAGATGAACGAAGGTCTTACGGGTTTCGAACAACACGAGGGTGAGTAATTAATGACAGAATATTCATTTTTGGGTGAACTAACCCTTTAAGTTAAATAATGATAATATACCAATCTACTTGAACTACAAACTTCTGTTTTGTTCCTTAAAATTACAACTGCCATAATACAGGTGGCACATAATACTGTTCATTGTAAGTAGGCTGTCCATAAAACATGACCAATACTCACATATAAATGGTGCACAGGGTCATACACAAAGACAAAACACCATCATGACACTAAAATCATGCAATAAACAAAAAAATTATACAATAACTGATAGTTGTTCCGTCTAGCTGTAGTACACATCTACACGCTGTGAACAAGTACATATCACGCATCTTACCTGGACAGGTGTTTCTTGCACAGGGATGACCTCAGGTTCAACTGCGGGCTGTTCTTCTACAACACCAACTTCCTCAATTACAGGCGCAACTGCAGCAGGCTCTTCCTTTTTCGGCTCAACAGCTATCTCCTCTTCAGCCTTTACCTCTGCCTCTTTGAACAAAGAGAATGAAGCTCAGAAAAAAGCAAGGATACACAATGTTGTCAGTGTGGTTACATATGAAAACCTAACTTTATATTAATATGTTATCCGAGTTTGAAAAATCACGACTAGAGAATTGAGAAATATAATTATTATTATTATTCTAAAAGAAACTGATTGGTTCCAAAAAGTAAGGGAACCAAACCAAAATCAAGACCAGAATTTTCTGATACAAGAATATTCCAATATTAATCAGAATTTGGTCATATTCTGGTTATGTCATGTAAATGTATGAACCGGCCACAACCAGATAATATTATGGTTTTTAAAAAAATCTGGCATATGCCAGAATTTTGGGTCATATAAACACTGTATTCACAATATCCATAAACAAACATTCATTTAGATATACGAATCCCCAAACAAAATAATTGCGGGTGATATTAGATACAGAAAAGTAGTGAAAAGTCAAGCTATTGCTGGAATTAGGGGTCGACCGATGTGTTTTTCAGGGCCGATGCCGATACCGATTATTACAGATCAAGTAGACCGATAACCGATATTTTGAACTGATATATATATGTCTGGTGTAAAAATGAAAATTAATGTCAAAATTAAGAATAACAAGGGCTCAGACAAAAACGGTATTTAAAAGGTTTGTAAAATGACCGATACCGATAACCATAAAAAGCTTAATATCGGCGCCGATAATCGGTCAGGCTGATAATCGGTCGACCCCTAGCTGGAATACATTTTTGGATTTGTATTACATGTATACAGGAATATTCCAATAGATGTGGAGTACGTAAACATTTGTTTTCCAAAATAAAGCCATAACCAGAATATGGACTTTAATCAGAAAGTGATATCCTTGTAAAATTGGTTATTGTATTAAAGTAAGAATGTAATGAAGATCATCATGTAGTCCACCAAAGGGAGAAACATCACAATCAGTTTTGTAAGACTGGAGCTCTGAAGCTAATTTTTAGCACATTCCGTTCATGTAAATGTCAGTTCCACGAGAGTATTCACTAAAGATCATGTGCTCGCTAGTGTCACACACACACACCTGTGCTCAAGACTCCTTGAGCTCTCAACAGCAACATGTTATACAATATACACTTTTAAATATAGTGGATATACGTTTGAAGCCATATATAGAAGGGCCCTGGAGTTTGCCATGTCCAAAACTCTTGAGTTCTGCTGTAGTGAGCACATTCTTAGACGAGACCAAACGTGTGCTCACATGAAAGGTCAAAAACCCTGCCGAACTCTATAATGTCCACTAGTGTGATGTTTAAAAGAGGCTGAGCGAAGAAACATTCTGTACTCCAGGCCAAAATGGCAGTCTCCTTAGTGTTTTGAAAAGATCTTCAGTTTGTTCCAAACAAGGATTCGCATTATACTAGTAAATATCCTGTTTGGATCTCCGTCCCTGGAGCAACACCATTTCTACATTAAATGAATGTTAAAGTAATGAATAATATGGTAAGTAAAGTGATTACTTTGTGTTCATCAGCGCTGTTCCTGAACTCTATTCTAGAGAGTTTACGGCCAGAATGGCTAATTCATTTCACTTTTGGTGTGAAACGACTTTTATATTTGCCAAAAGTAGAACTTTTTATATTAAAAACAACCAAGCAAGCCCAGCCCAGATGAGAAAAAGTAGCGCAAAAGTAACGTAACTCATTACTTTCCATAAAAAGTAACTAAGACAATTAGTTACTTATTTAGGGAGTAACGCAATACTGTAATGCATTACTTTTAAAAGTAACTTTCCCCAACACAGTTTACAGCCGACTAGAATTGTGAAGCACTGAGCTTATGTTAATACAAATGGGGAAAAAACACATTATTGCATTACAGTCATCATGGATAGATAGACAGATAGATAGATAGATCTAAACGCAAGGTGTGTGTGAACAGCCAGCGCGCATCTTACCTGTACAGGACACATTATTGCATTACAGTCATCATGGATAGATAGACAGATAGATAGATCTAAACGCAAGGTGTGTGTGAACAGCCAGCGCGCATCTTACCTGTACAGGTGTTTGTTGCACAGGTATGACTTCGGCTTCTACGACAGGAACGGCTTCTTCACTTTTCTTCTCAATAATCACCTCCTTCTGTACTGGAGCTGGAGCTGGTTGCTCTTCTCTGGGCTGGTGATATTCAGCAACCCGCTCTGATCTCTCCTCGTGATGTTTCTGTTTCTGTTCTTTCTTTTGCGCAGGTTTCTTCGCCAGGAGCGCCGATGCAACTATAATGGCAATAATCGTAAAGAAAAGTGCGGACAAAATAACGGGCGCGTCTATAGTCATGATTGCCTGCGGTTGTCGGTGGAGTTTGGATGGAAATGTAAGTTTGAAAGGCTGGTGGTTGTTGTGGCATGCGAGAGCAGACGCCTGTAAGACGCGGATTAGTGAGCGCCTCAGCTCGTACTGTTAGATCGCATAAAGCCCACGTGCCAGAGACGCTTTCCGAAATGGCTGTGTGTTAAAACCTAGTAGGCTGCCTACAAAGACAGCAGTTCAGGGGCGTACTATGACGCGCATCTGAGTTCCAAAAGAAGAACGATCAAGAACGTTTAAAATAATAGCCTATGTATTTGTAACATTTCAAGAAATGTATCTTGTTTAATAGACAACATCTAAATTGTGAATAGCTCAAATGCATGAATCATAACCCAGCAGGCACCTGGATATCAATTTTGACGTAAAATATTAGAGATCAAGACTTGATCAAGATGCTGTAACATCATTTTAAATTCCGTTTGGACGGCAATTTCTTCCAGTGGTAATTGGGTGAAAATAGGAAGTAAATCTCACACTGAAATTGGTTTAACGTATATGTATAAGCCAATATGTTTAACGTTTAATTTACATCAAATCAAAGTCATGTCAAGTTTTTGACGTCAGTTTGATTTGCTTGTTTCACCTTTTTTTTATGTATGTCTTTTCAACATCAATTGCCCACTGGGAGAACAAATAAAAATAAACGGGCATCAAACTTGCGTTCCAAACGCAATTACTACACTCTAAAAAATGCTGGGTTAGATACAACCCAGTGCTGGGTAAAATAGGCACAAACCCAGCAATTGGGTTGTTTTGACCCAGCGGGTCTAAATGCTTAACCCTGGGTAGTAACCCAACCGCTGGGTCAAAACAACCCAATTGCTGGGTTTGTCCCTATTTTACCCAGCACTGGGTTGTATCTAACCCAGCATTTTTTAGAGTGTAAGGATTCTAAAAATGCTGCTTCTTGTTGTTACCCATAAATGCTAGTTAGGCAGGTTATTAGGTTTTGAGACACGAGACTCTCAACGCAGCGTCACTCCCTACAGGACAGCCCACCTTATTAAAGCAGCACTGACCGAACAGGCGCAAAAGATGTTTTGAAAATGCACAAATATGATTATAGTGATGGAACAATATACGTCACTACTAAACTCACACTACTGCATCTTTTAGAAATGTATAGAATTTTATCCGACTATGCAGTACATAATCCTTGTCTTTTATGCAGAATGGTTAGATTTTTAATAGATACCGGTGCTGACATTTAGATTGCAATAGTTGCAACTGCATTTAAACCTCAACTTTATCCAAAACTAACGTTGACCTGATGCATGCATGAACAATTCTCTATTTTCTTAGAAAAAAGAATGTTATTCTGCAATGACTGTCACTGCTCTTTTAACTTAGTTTGGTTATAAAAGTTTTAAAATTATGCATGCAATTATTTAAAATATCCTTGTGAGAGCTGCATCGTTTAATGTTATAAGTTGAGTTTAATGGAAGTTACCACAAAAACATTTGAATAACAGAGATTGTTTTTCTTCAATCCTATTGTATTGAAAAATATTTTACCTCTATAAAAGATTTGGAATAAGAGACATTCCACTCCTTTTAAATTGATCTTGTCATAAATAACCACAATGACGTATAAAGAGGAATTATGGCATGCAATGCTCAATACTAATCAGCCATGGTGGTTTGAATGTAACGTCACACTCTGAACGGTTAAATATACCCAGTGGACAACATGCAAATGCAGGACAAAGACACTGCACCAAGATAAATACATAGAAACCTTTAGTAAACAATTATTATTATGAATTTTGTTTTGATCTGAGCAACATCAAGGTGTCACATGACCGAGCCAGTGCTGAATATGGAACACGAGGAGCTTAAGTAAGAACATACCCTGAGAAAACACAGAAGATCTGGAGCGATGAGAATGGGAGGCTTCCTCTAAGAGTACAGGCCATTCATTAAAACATTAGTATTTGCAATTCAAAACCACAGCTCTGAGAAATGATATGAGAATGTGAAATATGAGCACTCAAAGCAACTTGAATGACCAACATCAAGTAAAAAATAGGCACTTTTTAACCACATCTTTCTCCTAGATGCGTTATAGGCGGTTACGGTTGTAAACGAAAACAGCACCCAAACGCCTCAACAATGCTCACTTTGATCATTAAGCACCCATCACAACATGAAGTCTACACTCTAAAAATGCTGGGTTAAATATAACCCAGCGCTGGGTTAAAAAGGGACAAACCCAGCTATTGGGTTGTTTTGACCCAGCGGTTGGGTTGTTTTGACACAGCTATTGGGTTGTTTTGACCCAGCGGTCAGGGTCAAAACAACCCAATAGCTGGGTTTGTCCCTTTTTAACCCAGTGCTGGGTTATATTTAACCCAGCATTTTTCAGAGTGTATTATTATAGCCTTGAAACATTTCGGTCATGACAGATTACCATTTTTGGAGTTAAGCTATTTCCTTCTGTTAAAAAAAGAATTCAAAACATACAAAAACATTTTAAGACATTATAGGCTAGTCACTTTTTCCATTCTGAACAGGAAATGCAGATTTTCATGAATTATGATTGCACGCTTTTCCCCCTCTTTTGCATGGCTCATTGTGCACTGTATAATAAATAAACATTAGCGCCTCCTAGTGTTTCACTTATGCAGAAGGGTTATAAAAGAAAAACACCTGGTATTTCAGTTCATTGAGCTAATTTAACTATTGAATTCAACTGCTAATAGACTCGAAGTCGAATGCTTAATCAGTTTAAACGTTCCGGACATTTTGCGCATTCACAGTAGTTCCAACTGAAGAAAGGTGCGTTTAAACTTTTGGCTGAACAACAATGTTATTTAGGTAATATGCACATGCCCCGCACATGACATATGGACAAAATTAATTTATCGTCGCCATGAATTAAGAACTCGCTCCCACGACTTATTTAGGTCCCTCATTTTAGTAAACTATGGCATACATTGTACTAAAATGAGGTTACGAATTAATACAACGTAGCCAACATTTACTAAAATGAGGGAACTAATTAATAGGCTATCAGAAGGAATTGCTCATTCGTGCATGTGTAGGACTTCGTAAAGGGCTTCTAATTGAAAGTTGAGTCTTTTAGAGACATTTTAAATCTAAAATACTGCGACTTAATGATTTTGTGAGAAAAGGGACCACAGATCACAGCTGTTTAACAGTTTTAATTACTATGGGCTAATTTTCTGCTAACTCGGAGACAAGAAACCCACATTTAAGTGCAGTTCGAGAATAATGTAGAATTGGTAATAAAATACTCTATTTTCTAGGATCAAAGAGCTAAAGGCAACATTATACATGAGGTCAAACCGTATTACCTCAGATGGGTCGTGAAACATTTCACACGTATATCTGCGCATAACCTCAGTGAAATATAAAAACGCAGGTTAATGACGCTGGCGAGACGTCAAGCTTCCTGTCCAGAGCCTGACATCAGACAAGGCAACACAGGAAGGGGTTTCCTTCTCTCCCACACACTCATTCAAGCAACGCTCCTCCAGCAAGCACACATTTGGATATTTGGCTCTAAAAGCGCACTAGGGCTGAGTTTGTTATCAGACGTGACACAGCGGCGATCTCTTATCTAATGGACAGGAGTCTCCTGAGGGTGACAGACAGAGAGAGTGCGATGTTTCATGGTCTAGGAGACGATTATGGCCTGGCCTCGGGATGTCACCGAGACGAACTGCGCTCTTTGCTCACGCAGTCGTCCTGGCTTGTGATGTCTCCGTTCCCCATCATGCCACAGGTTCTCCTCTTCTTTCTGCGATGGGTCATGGCGTCGCCCTCAGAGCCCGAGTCAGCCTTCAGGAAAAAGGACAAAAATGCGGTTACAGAGAAAGTAAAAATCTGTCAAAAACATACCTTGGTTAGTTTGAACTATTGGGTGATATTTCTTGCATTAAACATGTGTTGTGAATTTCTCATTTTGATTGAAATGATGGTTTCTCTGATTTGGAGTGAAATGTTTGTATAAAAATAAATGGATTACATGCATATTACTAGGGCTGCACAATTAATCGAATTTCTAATCGCGATTACAATTATGGATGCCACAATTACGTAATCGTTCAAAGCGGCAATTAATCGTTCAAAGTCCACTTATGTTATTCGGCGTGCTTAAGATGCGTTTTTCTTTCTACATGTTATCTTAAGGGTTTTCCCATTGTTTTAGTTTTAGTATAACATTATAATACCATTAATATTTTTACTTATTTATAATTTAAAGAAGAAACCAATCCGATGTATATTTGACATTTGAGGCTTAATACTATAGAAAAGCACTAAATGTTTTCAGTTAGAGTGTTTTCAGCTTGTTTATTTTCATATAAAAATACGGCATGCAGTTGCATCAAACAATGGTATAAACATCATTCAATGTAATTGTGATAATCGTAATTAATAACCGCAATTACAATTTCAAGGCAATAATCGACAATTGTGATTTTTGTCATAATCGTGCAGCCCTACATATTACTGCAGGACAGAAAGGGATCGAGAATATCCATAATCCATAATGTCATTAAAATTAGTGATCAATTAATAGATTAAACATTAATAGAGCAATTGCACGTGTGTACATTGTATTTTATTACACTACTGTTCAAAGTTTTTAAATTTTTTAAAAATGTTTTTATCAAAGTAACATCTTATGCTCACCAAGGCTGCATTATTTGATAAACAGTAATATTGTGAAATATTATTACCATTTAAAATAGCTGTTTTCTATATGAATATATTTTAAAATGTAATTTGGTAAAGCTGAATATTCAGCATCCTTACATGATTCTAATATGCAGCTCAATTATTAATAATTGTTCTTATTATCGTCAATGTTGAAAACACTTTTTAAGGCGTCCTTGCAGAATCAAACTATCAATTAAAATGACTTAATGAGTGTACATTCAGGCTGTTTAATATGTATTTATTACAGTTAATAACGTATGTTATAGAAATATGTACAGAAAATACAGATATGACTCCATTAAAAGTTTACTTTGAGGATTGTGAATCATTTCTGACATTTGAATATGAATTTAAATCAAACAGTAACCGGGGATAATACACTGTACTGTTCGATGTGAATTCATAGCGCCCTCTAGTTTCTGTTGACTGTATAACCAGTGTTTTCACCATCTGCTCACAAGGTTACTGAATGCCAGAATGGGAAAAAAAAATTAAAAGCTTAATAGAGATTTTTTTTTAGCTATACTGCCTAGGCCTAGTTACATGTAGAATTTGTCAGTTAGTGAGCAGGTGTATCACACCATCAATCTGAGCAGCTCATGTCCGGACTCTAGTGTGGGAGTTTGTGTTTGGGGTTCTGGAGGAACAAGATGTACCTCTGAATCAGAGTCGGAGGAGCTGGAGGAGGAAGAGGACGACGAGTCACTGGAGCTGTCCGAGGCGATGCCTGTTGACTCCTGCAGATCGACTTTATCTGCCAAAGCAGCAATATCAGGCCTCTCCTGCTTCAGGATCCTGAGACACACATGAGAAACACCACCACGAACCCATTTAAATAATCAAAATACTAATTCCGTACTACATTGGAACATACTTTTCACACTTTCAGCTTGACTGAACATGACGCGCAATACTATCGTTTTTCTTTTTTCACGTCTCATTTCTTAATATTTTCACTGACTATTATATATTGGCATGTATATGCATGTATATATTGATTCCACCAAATCAGCTTATCTTCATTATGAGTGAAAATGTATGAATGCATATTTGTCATTTCAACTGAACTTAGGTCTGGTGGTGGTGCTTGAGACATTGTTGGTCATTCAGTAAAAAAAAACTAACAATAATACTGACCATATAATAATAGGGCGAGTCATGCTTCACAGTTCACACTAGAGTTTACGGTGCGGCAAATATGCTGCACATCCATTGAAATGAATTGGAATAGTGCGCTTTAAATACAGAGCGCGAAACGTTCAAGCATGCAGTGTTCAAAATGAGTGAAGGCGAGTGAAATCTAACAATTTATTAGCCAATGGCTAACGATAGACATTATTTGGTCACCTAGCATGGAAATTTAGTCGCATATGCGAGTGATTTACTCGCATTGTAGAGGGTTGGGCAACCTAAAACACTATGTTTTGACACTTTATTAGTGGAAAAATTGTTTTTTGTTGAGCAAATGAACAAGGCCCATTTGCAAAGCAGAACAAATATAAACATCTTTAATAAAAAAGTAACTTAAGTGAGTGAAATGGAAGAAATCGGTGTAAAGTCATCAGACAGAGCAGGGTCTTACCGGTACCACTTTCTGGAGAGTTTGGGGCGACCTCGCACAGTCTTGTGCCACACAATGGGGAAGTTGGTGGTGCTTGCAAAATTCTGGGTCATAGCAATAGTCGTGTCCAGATTCAGAACAACATGCCACCATCCACCTATAGAAAACACAAAACATGGGTTTCAACCCCAATTCCAATCACGGCTGCATGATTGGGTACACAAAAATATATTATTTTGACAAACATGTGGATTTGAACTGCATTATTTTTTATCATTTTGCATCTCTACTGTTGCTTAGATATAATTAACTTAAAGGAACACTCCACTATTTTTGAAAATAGGCTCATTTTCCAACTCCCCTAGAGTTAAACAGTTGAGTTTTACCGTTTTCTAATCCATTCAGCCGATCTCCGGGTCTGGCGGTAGCACTTTTAGCTGTAGCTTAGCATAGATCATTGAATCTGATTAGACCGTTAGCATCTCGCTCAAAAATGACCAGAGTTTCTATATTTTTCCTATTTAAGACTTGACTCTTCTGTAGTTACATCGTGTACGGAAAATGAAAAGTTGCGATTTTCTAGCGCAGCGCCTGAACATAGTCCCCAGCTAGGTAACTTCCAATAAGCCTATTTTCAGGCGCTGCGTAATATCATTGCGCAAAGTTCCTTGATTATTACGCCGGAATTAGAGTATAGTTCCTAGCCATATCGGGCTAGAAAATCACAGCTTTTAATTTTCCGTCGGTCTTAGTACACTAAGTAACTGTAACGCTTAGTACACTGTAACTACAGAAGAGTCAAGTTTTAAATAGGAAAAATATCGAAACTCTTTGGTCATTTTTGAGCGAGATGCTAACGGTCTAATCAGATTCAATGATCTATGCTAAGCTACAGCTAAAAGTGCTACCGCCAGACCCGGAGATCGGCTGAATGGATTAGAAAACGGTAAAACTCAACTGTTTAACTCTAGGGGAGTTGGAAAATGAGCCTATTTTCAAAAATAGTGGAGTGTTCCTTTTAGTATTTTTTCATGTCATTACATTGTTTAGAGCATTAGAACAAAATGGTAAAATAACATTTTTGAAAAATGACATTTTATTCAAATGTTATGCTATGTCCTCTGTAGAGGACACCAGGACTCAGTTTTTCTAAAAAATAAAATGACAAGAATAGACATGAAAAGGCAAAAACAAAATGGGAATTTAAAAAAAAAATCAATACATTTTTAGGTTTCATTTTTGCATGTCAGCTCAGTGCATACATTTCTGACATAATCTTGCACTGGGGGGAAAAAAACTATCTTTTTGGCTCTTATGATAAAATGCTGTTTCTCAAAAACGGCTAAGGAGCAAATAGATGGCATTTTAATACATTACTATGAACAATAAAGTCAAGTTTTTTTTGTTCAGATGGGATGATGGGTGTGATTGACCCAAGTGCTCTTTTGTTTTGCATTTTCGTCTATCTTTCATTATGAATATAGGTCTTAAGAGCAGAAGGCTTCTACACGTCACCCGCTTTCATACTAATACTTTCTGTTTTGCATTTAACCGAGCAGCTAAATTGCACTCAGATGGTGCTTTGTAATGCCAACATCTATTTAAAGTCAATAAATGAGACTAACAAAGCCTGAACTGCCATGGGTTCCTTTCTAGTCTGATAAATACCATGTGGTATGAAGCTTGAATGCCATGTGGTTTAAAGTTATGTATAGGCATTGCTCAGCACTTCAGTACTGAGGCTGCAGTTTAACTCATGATAAACTCATAATATAACTGATAATCCATGTCAGCACAAAATTATGGAACATGACTAACAATAACGTCAATAAAACATTGAAACTATCTGGTTACATACACATTCTTGCAAGTATAAAAATTAAGCATCGATGCCAGATAGTCATTCTGTCTTGTGAATTTTCTATCATTAACTCTTTCCCCGCCATTGACGTAATTTTCCAGATTTCCGTGTTTTCACTGGAGTACGGTAAGAGGCGCTATTATGCATCTTCTGAAGGAGTACTGAACGTCTGGATCAAAACACGACAAAGAAGCAGAAACAAGCAATCGCGCATATATAAGCAGATGCATAAGTAAAATAAAGTGATCAAATATGAATCATTACATAAATAAAAACTGCGTAATGTTATAGAATGAAATGTCAATCCAGGAAGCGGTTTAGGACCATGCAAGCTTTGGATGCGTTGATGGAAGTGATTTGTTTTGATCATCGTTCTGAATCTGATCCAGACGTAGTCTTTCACTAAAATGCGATTTTCTCAGCTTTTTGTTCAAATGCTAGCGGTGGCTGGCAACTTTTTAAAAAAACGCTGGCAGGGTAAGATTTAAAGGGGTCATATGATGCGATTTCAAGTTTTCCTTTCTCTTTGGAGTGTTACAAGCTGTTCGTGAATAGATAAGATCCCTAAAGTTGCAAAGACTAAAGTCTCAAACCCAAAGAGATATTCTTTATAAAAGTTAAGACTCGTCCACGCCCTCCTAAAACGCCTCGTTTAAACACGCCCCCACATGTCTACGTCACTATGTGGGAAGATTTGCATAACGCCGCCCAAAAGTGCACGCAAAGAAAGAAGGAGTAACTTTATTGTTGCTGCCACCGCCGCCGCCATGTCGTGAAGGTCGTGAAAGTGTTTAGTTGCAAAAGCGAAACTACTTTGTTTGGTTTCCAAAAGAGGACACGACTAGAAATCAGTGGTTAAGTTGTATTTACAACACTGTTCCAGAACAGTTCAACCCAAATATTCAGATGTGTGCAGCGCATTTTACGGAGGACTGTTTCTGTTTCCTGGGAGAGTAGACTACAATGCCAGCT